CGAATGTAGAAAAGGTTAAAGAAAGGGTCACGCGCATTAGTCCTTCTCGAATTTCATTTCGACGGGTAACACCTTGCCTTTTTAACGCCCTATACGAACTAAAGCGAAACGTTTATCGTAATAAAACGTAAAAATCTGTAATGGAAAGAAAATCGCACGGATGGCGTTAGACGATTTTAACTTTCGAACTCGAGCTAACTCGATACGAACTTTTTCCTATTTCTTTTTCTTTTTTTGTATTCGAGAGAAAAAGAAAAAAAAAAGAGAAAGAGAGAGAGAGAGAGAGAGAGAGAGAGCTAGGAGTTTTATTCGTTCGCTGGCAAACACACAAGATGCAAATAAATGTTTGCTCTCTTCTCTCCTCTTTTCTTCCCGTTCGATTCAACGACAAACTAAAGTCGATCTACGAAACCGTTCTTTCTTGTCTCCTTCGACCGAACGCTTTCGCTTTTCTTGACACACTTGGAAAATAACGGAAAGCGTTGAAACGATCGTTCGTTCTTTTCTTCGAACGTATCCTCGTACCTCTTGACTTTTCAAATCGCGAAAGAGATTCCTCGATAAAAAAGAAATTACTGAGCATCGCAAAAATCTTCCGAGAAGAGGAGCCGGTAAGACTTCTCTGTTAAAAGGTTCAAGCGTAATATGGACGTCGTTCTTATCCAACACGTCGCAGCACATTTTCACAAAACTGCACGTCGTATTCTCTCTTCCTCCCTCTCTCTCTCTCTCTCTCTCCCCTCTCTCTTTCGCTTGTTCGTTTCCTCTATGTTTCTTTTTCCCTACCCTTTCCACGTTCCATCTTCTCTCGTTCTCGCCTGACTTTCAATGTCTTTTTTCTCTCCATACCGGAATGTAAACCTTTTGTCCGTGTCGTAGCGAGTATATATCGTCGTTCTTTTCGAAAGCTCGAGGAAAGCTTCTCTTTTAGAACACGTTGGACTTTTATTGTAACGGATCTTCGCCTAACGTTCAAATCGATGCAACTAAGAAATGAAATAATACGTTTACGTATTAAAATAAATTAATATCATTGAATAATTGTAATTTAAAAGATTGTACATACGTTTCAAAAAGAGAATGTTTTTTTTTTCTTCTTCTCTTATCTTTTTTCTTCTTTTTTTTCTTTTTCTCTCTTTTTTATTTTTCTTTTTTTTTCTTTTTTTTTTTTTTTTTTTTTTTTTTTTTCTTAAGAGATTTCAATAAACGAATAATTTCATTCCGACGTGACTAATTAATGACAATTAACTTGAGTATCATTTAATAACATACTCGTTACTCGTTTGTTCTCCATTTAATATTTTAATATTTCACTTTCTCAAAGGAAGAATTTAAATACGTGTCTGGGAACGATAGAAAGTATACTTTTTTCTTACCGAAGACCGAGCTTTGAAAACCAGCCTGGAGTTTTCTACGTCCCTTTCTTTACATCTCCTTCCCCTTTCTCTTTTTCTTCTTTCCTACTTTTCTTCTTTCCTCTTCCTCCTCCTCCTCCTCCTCCTCCTCGTTCTCGTTCTCGTTCTCGTTCTCGTTCTCGTTCTCTTCTATCGTGCTTGCACGCCGCGCGAAATCTATTCAATTTACTTTTTTCTAGCCAGGGGATCTACTACGACGAAAGGAGATGTCTCTGTGAGAGAAAAAGCGAGCGAAGAGCGTTGCGCAAGGACGACGAGCGAATAGCTAAGATCGTCCGTTAAAGTACACACGACTGTTTCCCAACTACGACAGTGCTTAAAGCTTCGAGGGTCTTTCAAACTTCACAATTTCGTTCTCTTAGCGTCAAAGATTTCCTTCTGTGATTTTCCTAAAACTCTATTCTTTTTCTCCTTTATTGTTTCTTTTTCTTTTTGATTATTTTTCTTTTTTTCTTTTTTTTTCTTTTTTTTTTTCTTTTTTCTTTTTTTTTTTTGCAATCCCTCGTCTCTCCTGCCAACGACTTTAACGATCCCAATCTCGATCTTTCATACTTGAAGATTCGAGAGGAACGTTTAATTAAAGCAAGGAATCTTTTCGTTCTGTTTAAAGGCAAATAAAAAAAGAAAAAGAAAAAGAAAAAGAAATAATAATAAAAAAAGAGAAAAAATAAAATAAATGCTAAAATTTTCTTTTTCCTTCTTTTCGAGTCGAATTAGAATAGAAACTTTTCTCTCTCTCTCTCTCTCCCTCTCTCTTTCTCTCTAAATATAATTGCTTTAATCGAGTCACTTCATTTATATATATATATATATATATATTTTTTTTTTTTATTTTTGCTTTTTATATAAAAGACAAAAAAAGAAAGAGGGAAAACGGAAGAAAAATATAATTACTTTAAAATAATCCCATACGATCTCTTTGTTAGAATGTTACGATAAATTGAACGAACAAAAGTGGATGAGTGGAGGGAAGGGATTGGCGAGATTAACAGAATTTTGATATTGTCGGATATAATTGTAGTAAATAATAGAGCATTAACGAAAAGATACGAGAGGATTGGACGAGAATGTTTTTTCTAGCGAATTTTTAAGCGAAAGAATATTCGTAAAAGTATTTTTTTTTTTTTTTTTTTTTTTTTTACCATTCTCTCATGGAATCCATTGGCATTGGATGTATGGGAAGACTGGTTGGTCAGCCAGTAAAAGATTCGTAGGTGAAGCGTGTATTTTCGGAAACGAATACGGGTGCTCGTATAAATTTCAAGCGCGAATTGTTATTACTATCGATACTAGACGTTTCGTCGAAGAGTGCTTACCCGCATATCGTCTCCCATAAATGTCCAACTATGTTTTCGTCGCTACCTCATCGAGAAGAGATGTGAGAAAATCGAAATGCGTTTTCTTCTCTCTCTCTCTCTCTCTCTCTCTCTCTCTCTCTTTGTCTCTCCTTCTACTGATCTGTCTATTTCTATCTCTCTTCTTTTTTCTCTTTGTAGTCCATCAAGCTTTGCTTTTTTCTTTTTCCCCGTGGAAAAAGAAAAGAATGATGATGAGTTTGGTTGTTGGTAGATCGAAGGTATTCCTAAATGAAAATGTCTTCTACTCATACTCGTTTCCGATGGAAATATAGGGAAAACGATGGGAAAAGAAAGAAAGAAAGAAAGAAAGAAAGAAAGAAAGAAAGAAAAAAAAAGGGGAGGACAGAGAAGAGGAAGGAAGCCGAATCGAAAGCTTTCCGAGATTGGCCGTTGGAAAGCTCGCCGGGGTAACATAGAGCTATGGCTGAATGTTCGAGTACTAATCCTAGTGTAATAATGGCTTACGCGCTCGCAAGCTCGTTTCTAGTAGCGAGGACGTGGCCAGTCTCTACTTGACTCCGCGGTATTACCAACCACTTCTACCCTCATCGGACGTGACCTCCAACCCATTATACGATCCTTTTTATTCCGTTATATGACCCATGAAGCTTTTCGGCTTTCTCCTCCGCGAATCGAGACGTAAAAAAAGAAAAAAAAAAGAAAAAAAAGAAAGAAAGAAAGGAAGAAAAAAAATTCACATTCATAACTCTCCATACGAGGAGAAAACTGACGATTGACGTTTGAACGATACGATCGATATAAATAATTTCTTTTCCTTAATAATCGACTGGTATGGATATTGACGGAATGACGGGAAAGCGAATGTTCCTCTTTTTCTTCTTTTTTTTTTTTTGTTTTTTTTTTTTTTTTTTTTTGTTTTTTTTTTTTTTGATCGAAGAAAAATAAAAACCAAGTTTTCCTCGAGAATAATAAAAATTAATACCGGTCGTCAGATTTGTCGTAAAGTTTTATACACACAGATATATTGGTTATGCATATATATCGAGGCATCTAGAGTTATCGCGCTGGGTTATCCTTCGCATAGAATTTAAGGATAAAGATTGATGTATAGGAACTATCCGTATAGGATCCATGTAAACATAACCGCTGATATATATCGAACATCCATATATACATTTTTTAAAGGATATTCTTTGAAGTGCGAACGTAAAAAAGAAGAGAAAGAAGAATAAGAAAATAAGAAAAAAATACACACGTCGCATGCACCGAGAAAGAGAGAGAGAGAGAGAGAGAGAGAGAGAGAGAGAGAGAGAGAGAGATAAAGATATCCTTAAAGATTCTCGTAAATCCTGGTTACCACCCTCGTTGCTTATATTTCGGGGCTGACATTATATTTCCATAACAAAAGTTAATCCTTAACTTGATCGATTTAAATGAAAATTCACGATCCTGAAAGGAAAATGATTGAGAGGTAGATTTAAAAGCGTACGATCGATCTATATTTTTACTTTACAAGAATATCGTTTTCTTAACCCACGGAAATATCGCGAAAGAGGAATGCGCGATTTATTCGTGCGAATGAATTCGAATCGGGATGAAACGGGTTGCGGGGTAAAACGCCGACGTAAGCGACGAATAAAGAATTGGAAGGAGGCAGAAAGGAGATATATAGGAGGAGCGGCAAATGGGGAGTGGCTTGGAAGGAGAGAGAGAGAGAGAGAGAGAGAGAGAGAGAGAGAGAGAGAGAGAGAGAGAGAGGAGAGGGAAACGAGAAAAAAGGAAAAGAAAAAGAAGGAAAAGAAGAAAGAAGAAGGGTCGCAAGAGTGGCATCGAACGCTACTTTCGAAATAGATACGAAGCGTTCTCCCTTTCCAGTCGACTCTAGTACGCCAAAGGAAGATCGTGGAAAAGTCACGCGCGCCGTTTATCCTCTTCTCTTTCTCTCTCTCTCTCTCTCTTTTTCTCTTACTGTCTAGCAAAACCACTACAAATAACAACTTTAGGCTTTGCTACTTTGCCAGCACGAAACCGAATGCTACTACGGTATTAGCGTCATTCGGCTTTGCCTCTATTTTCCAAACAATTTCCAAACAAATTCACATGTTTCTCTAAAGTAACCATTTCGTTTCAATTTGCATATATATATATTATATATATATATATATATATGCATGTGTGTATGTGTGTCTATATGTAAACGTATAAACGTACGTAGATACGAGAGCTAATCAACATTGATATGGTTTTTCTATTTCTTTTTTTACAGCGACAGCGGCATGGCTGAGGCAGGAGCAGCCCTGTCCAATAGCAGGAGACTTTTGCATGAACGGTGGTACCTGCCTATTTTTTGAGACTGTCGGTGAACCAGCATGCAGGTGAATACATGCACCATTTTTATTTTCTTTTAATTTTATTCGTTACTAAGTCGAAAACTTTTTTTTTCCATTTCATTCCGTCTGTCTGTTACTTTCTCTCTCTCTCTCTCTCTCTCTCTCTCTCTCTCTCTCTTTCTATCTTTCAATTTTTTCTGAGTGAATTATTGATCGATAGAAAAGTTATCTCTATTAAATTTGCTAGTGATTGCACTTGTTTAGAATATCTACTCTCTCTCTCTCTCTCTTTGTCTCTCTCTTTGACGATATTACGAACGAATTCATTTCTTCCATCTCTATCAGAAACAATTCGATTATCGGAAAGATAGTGGAATTCGAGAGTTCTCGCTATATACAAAGCTCAATGGTAACGCGAACGAGAAACGTGGAATAAAGGTATATAGTTCCTTCTCCGGTCATTTTATTTTCTGTAGAACAGAAAAGAATCGATTTTAAATATAAATCGACGGTGTATCGACTCGTTAAACGTTATCTTCCAGTAGATATATTTCCTTTTTCTTCTCTATTTTAAAATGATTTCCTTTCATGCTCGACTTCTTCTTACCAAGACATTGACTTTTCTTTCTGAACTCGAATAAATACTCGATGACGTGTCAGATTTATCGATGAAACGTATCGATATATCGTTAAATGATTATAAAAAAAAAACATGATGTACGATATTTGCGTTACGGTAGCGACAATATTATTATTATTATTATTATTATTATTAATATTATTTATTAAATGTAATTATTTAATTAAAGGTGTAAGGACAACTGTGTGTGTATGTGTGCGTGCGTATGCATCTATCCATTGTTGAATTCATTCTCACGTGTTCTGTGAGAAACTGGCGCAAATACTTACATTAAATCCGTCGACGCTTCGCATCCTATCTCTCTCTCTCTCTCTCTCCTCTCTCTCTCTCTCGTGTTGGCGAAAACAAAAGACTCTCTGAAAGCAGCCACGTGAAAGCACTTAAAGCTTAAGTACGTATCACGTGAAGCAAAAAAAAAAATAAAGAAAAAAGAAAAACGATACAGGCGTTTAGTACAACCAACATATGCATAGAACTAACATTTAATACGTATAAGAAAGCTCGTAATATCATAAAAAATCAATTGATCAAAGAGTGAAAATAAAATCATGTGAGAAATTAATATCGTTCGATTTAATCGAAAAAATAGACGAAAACGAGAACGAATCAAATATAAAGATACACTGACACACTATTTGCAATCATACATATATATATATATATACATATTGGAAAAATATATCAAAGATAAATTAAGATCTGAAATACTTGCGATCTTTACAAAAACGGTGAAATAATACGGGTTGTGTATGCACTTCCCGTCGGTGCATTTTGACGTCGGTGGGTGCACTCGTTAAACAAATTTGGTGGACCAGTCGGCGCCGGTTATCCGTGAGATAAAAGCTACTCCCGAGAGGATCGTAGCTTTGAAGGTGAAAGAGATGGAGATAGAGAGAAAGAGAACGTATGTAGAGAAAAGTGAGAAAAAAAGAGAGAAAAAGAGATAGAGAGATAAATAGAAAAAGAGAGATAAAGATAGAGAGAGAAAGAGTTGCGTGTTTCAGAGACAAAAAAGAGATAGGTAGATAGATAGATAGACAGAGAGAGAGAGAGAGAGAGAGAGAGAGAGAAAGAGAGAGAGAGATAGAGAGAGAGAAAGAGAGAGAGAATGAATGTTATGGCCTATGGCCAGAGAAGGACATACACCACCACGGTGTCATCGGTTGACGAGGGTTTATTGGCTTTATCGAGGAATCGAGTCCCTCCCAGAGGGATAAAGGAAAGAGAGAAAAAGAGAGAAAAGTCGACGGATTGAAAGGAAGATGCGTGACGCATTTCGGACGTGAGCGCGAGCGAACGTTCCCGCGTGTTTCTCTATTCGATCGAGCTCATCCAATGATCCGTAAAAAAGAAAAAAAAAAAAGAAAAAAAAGAGAATAAAAAGAAAAGAGAAAAAAAAAGAGAAAGAAAAAAGGAAGGAAGAGAGAAGAAAAAAAAAAGAAAGAAAAAAAAGAAACGCTATATAGAAATCTTGGCTCTCATCCATGACTTCGATTTCGAACGAATACGATCGAGTGAAAAAAAAAAAGAAAAAAGAAAAAAAAAGAAAAAGAAAAGAAAAGAAAAGAAAAAGAACGAGAGAAAGAAAGTAAGCAAGGAAAAAACAGCAGAAGATAAAACGAAAATGAAAAGAGAACATCTCACTTTTTCATTTTATTTTTCCGAAATAAAAAATGTTATCCTTTTTTTTTTACCCCCATACGTCGCCCGCTCACTACTAATATCCTTATTTATAACGCTTATATAAAATATCTACTGTCCCGTTCATACAATTAGAATTATTATTAAAAACGAAGAAGAAAGAAGGAAGAGGTGGGACGGGAAGGGGGGGGAGGAAGGACGTCTTCTCGTAGAATTAAAAAATCATTTAACTCGAGTTCGTTGCTACGTCAGGCATGTAAGAATCATTCACGTAACAACAATTCATGAATCCAGAATCTGAAGTGGCAGTGGTACGAGAACTTTTTCGATGTCATTTAGCCAACTTACGCTCGTAAATCTCATTCACGAAGGTACTTACAAAGCTTCTCGTACGATACCCTCTTATACCATCTCTATTTCACTTCGTCCTATTACATCCCTCTTCTTTTCTCTCTCTCTCTCTCTCTCTACCTCCCCCTTCTCATCCTCCTATATTACGTCTTTACGCCGTCCCGTTTGTTTCTCTTATCCAAAGCTTTTACTACCTATTTCGACTCGTTAACTTTACACTTTTACACTTCTTATCGCTTTAAAGGCAAATTGCCTAATAAAATATGGGCCATGACGAGAACGACGAAAATGCCAGTGAAAAAAGAGGAAATTTCACATCGGAGAACGTATTTCTCGTTTCTGCTTACTTTTTTCTTCTTCCTCTCTCTCTCTCTCTCTCTCTCTCTCTCTCTCTCTCTCTCTCTCTCTCTTTTCTTTGAAATCCATTGAGAAGGAGCACGATCGATGTCTCATCGAGAGCAAGGGGAAAAGAAAAAGAGAGGAAAGAAAGATGGAAAGAAAGAAAAAGGGTCAGGTTTATAGAAAACGATGAACGAAAGCTTCGGTATTCGAGAAAATGATGATTGCAAGAGTGCTTCTCATCGATATAATGGTAGTCCGTAGTGTGTCTGTATATTGGACAATATCCGGAAATATTGATCGTACCTATCTACCTCTTCTCTGTTTAAATTGTAACGATCTATAATATAGCACGATATAAATCATTACAAATAATATCCAGAGCGCCTATCATTCCAATCTCTAAAATATTCATAATAACAATTTGCGCAAATTAAATCTCTATAATATATTGATTCGTTAAATATTCGCATTGGAAATAATTTACGATTTAATCAAAATATACGTACATATTATTTACAATACATACGTATGTATGTATATCGGTCAATGTGTCTTTTCTATGAGCGTGATACGTTCGTCTTTATTTGAATTCAATAAAAGCAAAATTAGTTGGTTATAATCGACTAATAACAGACGATCCATGCCAATTTCGGTAGCAACCCGATAGCCTACTTCGAAGCTTAACGTCTTGTTCCGGCAGACGCATATATAATACTGAACACGATTATCCATGGACACGTGCCAAGTGGAGAGAGACAGTAGAAAACTTTGTCCTCGACGTTCTCCACTCGTCTTTTCCTTTCTTTCTAAAAGAGCGATTCAATACGTAGCTCGTTTAAACGTAGTCAATCGAAATAGAAAATCATCCGCTCTTAGACCGTTCGCTAAAACGTTAATTTTCGAAAATTCACAATTTCAACTCAAGAAAAATTCGAAAAAGCGAATTCGAAATTTTTTTCTCTTTCTATAAATCTTTGCGATAATCCCTATCCATCTTATATCTACGATGAAAAAGTTCTATGGCTACCAAACAAAAAAAATATATACATACGCATAAAAAAAAAAAAAAAAGAAAAAGAAAAGATAAAAAATATAGATGAATTTTAGAAAAAAGAAAAAGAAAAAAAAAAGAATCTCTCAGAGCATCGCGATCATTGCTAAGAATCGCGATGCTTCTTCCGTAGTCAACTCCAGTACTGACAACATCCGTATTTTCAACTCTGTCCCGCATACAAACACTGTCCCTTTTTAGGCGCTCATTATTTTAACGGAAAGCGCAAAGCTTTTATACGAAAGTGCAGGAACGCGACTGCAAACACTTCATGATATGAAACTTTGTACCTTACTTTCTCGGCTTGTAGGTAAAAGGGGTACGCCGGCGGAATATATAAGAATAAAAAGGAGAGACGATACGCCACGTTGGATTCTCATTGTTTAACGTTACATGCCAGTACAATCTTCATCTTTCTCTCTCTCTCTCTCCCTCTCTCTTTCTCTTTTTCTCTCTATCTTTCTTCTACTCGAGGAGTCTCTCTCGACCAGTCAACTCTTTTCGATGTTGTAAGTAAAGAAGTAGGTAACATCGCCTACATCTCTCTCAAGATATTTCTGGAGAAAAATAATGATAATAGTAGCGATTGTCTCGTTATTATCATTTAATAAACCACGCAATACACAGTGCACATAATAATAATAATAATAATAATAATAATAATAAAAATATATATATGTATATATGAAGAAAAAGAGAAAGAAGAAGAGGAAAAAGAAGAAAAAGAGAAAACGAGAAGAGGAAAAACATGCGATAAAATTTTCAAACTTTCTCATTATAACTTGAACGTTTCAAACGAGTGTTTGCTTGTAAATTAAATAAATAATTGAACTACGGCGACCTACTTTCATCGAACACTACTTCGAAATATAATGTGTACACATTTTGACGTTTGAATTTTCATTTGATTAGACGAGAAGCCAAGGTCGATATAAGATGAAAAAAAAGAAGAAGATAAGAAGAGAAGAGAGAGAGAGAGAGAGAGAGAGAGAGAGACATACCAAAAGGAGGCCTAAGCTT